AGGCAAGTGGAACCAGCAACAGCTGGGAGGACAGGGCTCTTTCCTACATTCCCGGCTGTAGTGCCTGTCTCCCTGCAAAGTCCAGTGGGGAAGCACACAGGGGGAGTTTCCATATTACACCACTCTAGGTGATGTCAATAAGGCCACACTCTGGCTGGCCTGGCACAATGGTGGGGGAGCAGGTGTCTAGTACAGGTGACAGCCAGGAGGAGTGTGAGTCAGGCTGTATACCACAGTGAGGGGCTTCGGGACTGCTTTGTCCAACTGGGGGAGGAGCGTCTTATGCTCCTGAGAGTACCCATCCTGCTGGGCTGAGTGGGCCAGGATGATTTTCTCCACCTGTCCTTTGTCCTGAGCAGCCAGCTCTCTGTGCCCCTTAAATACCCTTCTCTTTATTAAGTAGTATTTAAATTTTCCAGTGTTTCTTTTTTCACAGTGGAGCCAGGTGTGCATACCTGTTCTCCACATGTGGTTGTAATTGAAGTTCTCTGAGTATTTCACCTTTCTTTACTTTCCAACCCTACTAACTTCCAGAGCACCATGTAATGTGGGTTTGTGCTCCCAGAGCACATCTTCAGGTATAGGTGTTTAGCAGTCCTGGGCTTCTATTCCGTTCCCACTACATTTCTCTTCCTCCGTTTTTGGGCTGAGGGTGAGGGAGGACTTGGGTCCTTCCAAATTGCTGCTTTGCTCTTTTACCCTTTCCTCTGATGTCTTCTGTTTTCCCCAGATGTAAACAGTCTGTTAAGTAGGCTTTGTGTATTTCTTGGAAGATCAGTTGTATTTGCTGTATTTTCATTTTATATGTGGTTTTGGGAATAGGGTTTCTGCCTCACCTCTCATGCCACCATCTTTTAACCATTTATCACTTTTGAAATGATAACAAGGTACAAATATTCACTCTACACATTCCTGTACCTTTACATATGTATCACTGTAGCTCTGGGCCAGAAGGGTGTCCCAACTCTGGGCATATTCACTTTGGATGAAGTGAGACTGAAAAATGTTAGCAGAACATTGGGTGTAGAAAGGGGATTTTACCAAGCTTTATTATCACAGTGGTAGATCGAGTGTTAAAAACATGTCTGCATCTGGCTGTCTGTCTCTGCTCCGGGATCTGCCTGCTATAAGCTGTTCCCTCACCTCTAGATTTGCTTTGCTATGCTCTGATCTTAGCACTTGGTGTACCTCCTTTCATAGCAACATGGGTAATAATGGCTTATCTCCAATGGATATGCAAGCATACACCTTTGCAGTAGGCTAAGTATTACATCAGTACATGTTCACACTGGGAGAGCAGCATGGGATCAGATTAGAATCCTGGGCAGAGAACTTCCATCTTTCCTACACTCTACTCCTCCGAGGATCTCATAAAACAATTTATGTGACCTCCATCTTCTGCGATGGTCCTTCTCTGGCTTCAATTGTTGCCACATCTCCAATAAGAAGTTATTTGACTTTCCAACCAATTTTTCTGTGTCACCCCTGCTTTTATTGAATCATCCCACATCTGGGTCCTCGTGACCTCCACAGGGGCTTTAAACACTTCTCAGGAGACTGGTGTTCCTTTTCATGCCTGCATCACCTTAGCCTTCCTCAAATCTGCCACAGTATGGGTAACCTCGTTTATGAGTTGCCTTATGTGAGGGGCAATAATGGCTACTAGGGGCCCAAAGAGACAAAGGGGAACCATTTGCAACACCGTATCACTCACCCCGTGGTAAAGAGCCCTTCACTTGGGCCATGATTTTCTGTCTTATATAGGGCATTTTTCATAACCAACTCCTATTAAGGCCCTTTGGACCTGAGCATAAGTCTGTCATTTTATGTAGAAAGATCGTATGTCACCCTGTTTGGGCCATATAGTGCAAAGTACGGCCATGAGCCAAGCAAGGAAGATGTTGATTGGGATCTGGTATGCATTTTGTTATTGTTTCATCAAGGCAGCAAGAGATGTCAGGTAAATAAGCTCTCCCATTTCTAACCTGGACAGAATAATCCCATCCATGCCAACATCTCAGAGGTGCAGGAACCAGGCTGATATGGACTCCAAGGGTTTCTTCCTAATAGCCCAAGTCCACCAGCTCTCCCTGCATCTAAGGGTAGAGCATGGAGTGCTCCACAACATGGCAAGGGACCTTCACCACTATTTGAGGAACCTGTCATTGCTGTTTCCTTAGTTTCTTTACTACAACTGGGCATTATTTCAGTAGAGGAGGGGTTGGTGCCTCTGGCACCATCTCTACTTCCCCATTCACCCTCAGTGTATTTCCCACCACTTCGAGATCTGACACAAACCTCTTGCCACCCCACAGTGCACTTCCATCTCAGTCACAACTATACCCTTTACCTTCTCCACAGTGCATCGTAGCAATGCTATCTCAGTTATAAACAAGTCTTTTACCTCCTCCACCACACCTCACAGCATGAGTTCTCATGCTGCCTCATTGCTTGCTTCTTGCAGGAGTCCATCCTTCTCCTGTAAGGCCTTTCTTATTCTGTGTGAAATAGTCAAATTCAGTCCTTCCAACACGTGGTCATCCTGTTTATTTAAGGATTACCCAATATCATAGGGGGCCTCCAACACTCCCTTAGGCATTGCCTCTACCTCCACTCAGACCTGGGGAGGGGCTCACTCCTTAGGAGGAGAGCCACCTTAGGCCATATGCCTACTGGGGCATAGCTGCTGTCTTCCTATTCATAGGGGCAGTGTGCTGAAGTTTCACTCCCATGCAATCTGGATTTTACATTTTGTAGTTTAAATCAAATCTTAAGGACTGTACCAAAATGTAGTTGGTAGCCAGAGAGGGTGCCCCACCTCTGGCAAGTTCACTGTGGCTTCAGTGAGTCTGAAAAATGACAATAGAGTTTGGGAGTATAAGGGGGATTATACTAAAGTTTATTCTCATGGAGGTAGGTTTAAGGGTAGAATCACATCTGCATTGGGCTGTCTGCCTCCACTCCATGCTCGGTCTTTCCTCCAGATTCTGCCCTTGCTTCCAGCCTCTGCTCTGCTCTTAGCACCAGGCAGTCTTTTTAAAGCAATGTGGGAAAAATTGCTAATCACTGAGGGGTATATAAGCATGTCCCTGTGCAGTAAGCTAAATATAACATCATTTAACCAACACAGAGGGTGAGTATTTATAATAACGTGAGGGTTCTGGCCATGGAACTTACATTTTCTTTACTCTCACATAACTTTTAATCTGGCTTCTAGAAGTTAGTGTGTATTTTCTACATTCTTAGAAATAGTTCTTTTTACCCCTTCATCTAAACTGAGGAACTATGAATATTTAATTTTAAATGCATTCTAAACAGGTCCTCCCTACTGTTACTAAAAATGGAAAATTGATTACATGTTTACTGACCAGATTTATATGTGGAAGTCACATAAATTCTGTTAGGGATTTCAGAAATTTGGCACACAACATATCAATTGCTTACATTCCTTTTAAAAGCATCATGATGATTCATGCTCCTTATGTGATGTTTCATTTTCTAATTGACCCTAATCATTCTGTGCCTGCTGATGCTCCAAATGTCTCTTGGGTCGCTACAGTCCTCATTTTGACCTTTGACATGTTACTGCTATCCCCATAGCCCTGAATTTTTGCTTAATAATAGGTGTAGATGTCACAGGTTCATCTTTATTATTTTCATCCCGAGACACAGAATCAGCTACTCCTCAAGGAGCGCTGCTTCTTTATAATGGAAGATAGTATTTGAAACCAAATAAGGGCCCCAAGGTACCAATTAGGCTGTCTGTCTTGAACCCTGGAGAACAGCCCCAGTTAGAATTCTTAGAGAAGTCTATTGATGTAATAAATCTCTGTCTTTCCTCCTCCACTGTCCCATTCATGACCTGCACTCCAGACCTGGCTTTGAATTTGTGTTATTCGTCCAGCCAGTTTATACCTTTCTTAAATTTCAGTTTTGAACAGAGGCTAAAAAATATCGATTTACAAGTTACAGAGTGGCTGCAAAATATTTTACAAATTTCTTTTTCATTCTTCTTAGAGGAATGCATGGTCCAAAGTTCCTGGAATTGCTGTCAAAATATAAAGTTCTGGTTCTCTTCTTTGACAGCTATTCTGAGGATATATTTGGGAAAAATTTTAAAAAAGGGAAACTGGAAAATCTTCTGGAAGAATCCCAAAATCAACTAACCTTAGAATTCTTAGTATGTAAGAGAGTTTTTAAATAAGACTAGTGACAGGTGATAACAAAGGCAAAAGTAGACATGTACGATGACTCACAAAGCTTGGTGCACATTCTACATGAGACGAGTGTTTGAACATTTTCTTTTATACTTTTATTTTGTGTCATATTTGAAATTGTCATTATGGACAATTTATAAGCTCATTTGAAATTTCTCATGTTTTCTTGTGAACTCTCATGTCTGTTACTTCTTAATACTTACACAATCGCTTTAAACAAGTTGAAGGTTCAGTAACAGTATCAAGTTTAAATATATGGTTACAAAATTTATCATAAGCCAAAGAATCCTAACCAAAACTTGAGAATGAAATCATTCTAAAAACCTGGTCCACCCTAAGGCATTTTGGTTCTGTTAAAGGGATAAAATTGCCCAGCTCATGGGCTGTCAGGCTATAAAAACAAACAATTGCTTCTGATGTCTGTTTAAGTCATATTTGTGTATTCATTTGTTCTGTGTAGGATACATCAGAATTCTGATTAACATTACTTTTCCAACTATCACAGTAATAACTTTTAAGTGTTTCCCCTATAGCTTCATGAAAGGATCACACACGTGTAAAATCACGACCCAGCCTGTGACCACCAGGCTACTGAGCATTCGTGGAAAGCCCACACATACAGAATTTAATACAGTACCTTTCAGAGCCAGCAGGTTATCAGAATCTGTGGAGAAAACAAGAAATCTATTTATGTTCTTAATTATGGATGAAAAGCGAGCATATGGAAGAGAAGATCTCAAATTGTACTAGATTTCTCTCAAATAATATGTCTGGCTTTTGCAGGCAATTGAATTATGGAGGACACAGAAAAATTTTTATTCACATTTAAAGGATTTAATTTTACATGTTATGGAATTGATGTTGACTTTTTAGAAAATCTGGATGATTTTGAAATCCGAGATGATGATGTCTTCATAATCGCATACCCAAAATCTGGTAAGTTCTCCATTCTGATAGCTAATCTAATAATTGAATGGCTTTTCATTAATATGTGAGCTTAGTTTCTCAGTAGTATTAGGTATGATCATGTGCTATAAATCCGTTGGGTATTAAAAGATAAGACACTTTAATGTCTCATGAAATCAGGTGTTTACAATATAGCTTAAATTATTTCTGACTTTGGTTGGTGAAAAGAACACAATGAGGAAGAAATTTCATTGAAGAAAATGACAAAAATGTAGTGATGAAATGTCTAGGAAGAGAGGCAGGAATATTTATCCTCAGGCAGGGAGATGGGACAGAAGATGTAAGCTATACTTAATAACCTCTGAGGAAGGAAATTCAACTTATATTAATTATAATAAATGTGGAATACATCTCACAAAAGTTCAACTGTTCAATATTTGTGGGACACCCAAAAACAGTCCTAGGAGGGAAGTTCAAAGCTATACAGGTCTACCTTTAGAAACAAGAACAGTCCATAATAAGCAACCTAAACTCACAATTAAGGAAACTATAAAAAAAAGAAAAGATACCTTATGTTAGTGGAAGGGGGGGCATAATAAAAATCAGAGCAGAAATAAATAATATAGGAAAGAATAAAACAGTAGAAATAGTACATGAAACTGAGAGCTGGCTTTTTGTGAAAATAGACAAAATAGATAAATCCCTAGCCAGACTTATTAAAAAAAAAAACAGGTAATACACACTTCAATTCATTAATGAACAGGGAATAGTCACAACAGATATCACAGAAATCCAAAGAATTATCAGAGAACACTATAAAAAATTATATGCCAAGAAGTTGGACATTCTAGTAGAAATGAACAATTTCCTAGTAAGTACAACCATCTAAAACTGATCCAGAAACAAACAATATCAGAACAGACCAATTACCAACAATGAAACTTAATTGATAATCAAAACTCCCGATAAACAAAAGTATAGCATCAGATGGCTTCACAGTTGAATTCTACCAAACATTTAAACAAGAGCTATTACCCATCTTTCTTAAGGTGTTCCAAGAAGTAGAAGAGGAACACTCCAAGCTCATTGTATGAGGCCATCATGACTCTATATGACAACCATATGAAAACACTAAAAGAAAAAAGGAAAAATTTAGACTAATATCTCTGATGAACATGATGTGAATGTCTTCAACAAAATATTAGCAAAGAAATTAAAAAATACACCAAAAGGGTCATCCATCAGGACCAAGCTGTGTTTATTCCAGGGATTCAAGGATGATGTAATAATCATAAACCAATCAATGCCACATACCACTTTAACAAAAAGAGGACTAAAAAACCACATGATCATCTCAATAGATGCTGTGAAAGAATTTGACATAACTCAATATCCATTCAGGATAAAATATCTCAAGAAAGTGGGAATAGAGGTTTCATCCTCAACATAATAAAAGCCATATATGACAACACACAGCTAACATCATACTGCATGGCATAAAGCTGACAGCTTTTCCTCTAAGTTTGGGAACATGACAAGGATGTCCACTCTCCTCACACTTAATCAACATAGTACTGGAGCTCCTCGTCATGGCATTCAGACAATACAGAGATAAATACATCCAAATTGGTAAGTAAGAACTAAGATTTTCACTATTTGCAGATGACTGGATATTATACATAGAATATCTATTCAAAAAACTATTATAACTAATTACTAGATTCAGCATTATTGCAGTATACAAAATTAAAATAGAGAAATCTGTTGTATTTCTGTATGCTAACAATGATCTAGTACAAAGAGAAATCAGGAAAACAACTCCATTTACAACTGCATGAAAAAGAATGAAATAATTAGGAATAAACATAACCATTTTGGTGAAAGACATACACTCTGATAACTAGAAGGCACATGTGAGGGAAATTAAAAGATAAACAAATAAATGGATATCTATCCTGTGCTCATGGTTAGGAAGATTTAGTAGTGTCAAAATGGCCCTCCTGCCCAATGCAATTTACATATTCATTGCAATCCCTATCAAAATACTAACAGTATTTTGAGGAACTGAAACTAATAGTTCTCAAATACATATGCTATCACAAAAGACCTTGATAAGCCAAAACAATCCTGAGAAAGAGAACAAATCTGATAGAATTACACTATCTGACATCAAGCTATATTAAAAAGCTACAGTAAAAAGAATAGTATGTTATGGCACAAGAAGAGACACAACAATCAATGACACACTTAAGAGAGCCCACATATATAATCCCACTAATATATGGCTACTTAGTATATGATAAAGGAGCCATGAATATACAATGGGGAGAAGACAGCCTCTTCAGTAATGTAAGAACTGCACAGCTACTTTCAAGAGAATGAAACTTGATTACTAACTCCATACACAAAATTAAACTTGAAATGGATCAAAGAGCACAATGTTAATACATGAAACCATAACACTTTTAGAAGAAAACCTAGGCACAAATCTCTGAACATAAGTTTTCCTGGATGCATCTCCTTGAGCAAGGGAAACAAAATAAAAAATGAACATATGGGTCTACATCAAACTAAAAAGTTTCCATACATCAAAGGACACCATCCACAGAACCAAAAGGCAACCTACATTATGGGAGAATATATTTGTAAATGATTTATCCATTAAGGCGTTCATACAAAATACATAAAGAGCTCATATGCCTCAACACCAATGAAACAAATAACCTGATTTGAAATGGGTAGAGGACTTGAACAGGCACCAAACAAGAAATACAGATGGCCAACAGGCTAATGAAAAGTTGCTCCACATCACTTACCATTAGGGAAATGTAAACCAAAACCATAATGAGACATCACCTCAGACCAGTTAGAATAGCCACAACCCCAAAGACAAAATGTGACCAAGGTTGGTATGGATGTGGAGGTATGGGAACCCTCCACACTGCTGGTTGGAATGTAAATTGATACAACTGCTTTAGAAAGCAGTGTGGAGGTACCTCAGAAAACTAAAACTAGAAATATCATTTGACCCAGTATAAGAATTTACAGGAAGAAAAGAAAATCACTTATTTGATAAGATATATGCACCCTTGTGTTTATTGCCACATTATTTACAATAGCCAAGACATGGAATCAATCTAAGCATCCATCAATAGACGAAAGGCTAAAGAAGATGTGGTACATATCTAGAATAGAATATTTTTCAGGCAGAAAAAGATAAGAAATTCTGCTATTTGCAACAACATGGATGGATCTAGAGGTCATTATGCTCTGGGAAATAAGCTAGGTGGAGAAAGACAAATACCATATGATTTCACTGAATTTTGGAATATAAAAATAAAGCAAAACAAAATGAACAAAACAGCAGTAGAGTCATAGACTCTGAGAAGTGACTGGTGGTTACCACAGAGGAGCAGTTGGGGTAGGTGGGTGAGGAGGCTGAGAGGAATAAAGAGGTATATATGAAAATTCTCAATCAAAATATATGTTTGTCATGGGGATAGTAGTACAGCATGGAGAACATAGTCAGTGACTCTGTAGCATCTGTTTGTGTTGATCGAAAGTAACTGCAGTAGAAGTGCTGAGAATTTAAAAATATGGGTAACTGTTGAACCACTGTGTTGTCTATTTGAATACAGCATAAGATTGTATATAAGTGATACATCAGATGAAAAAAATTGAAAAAAGTGAAAAGACAACCCAACAAAATGGGAGAAAATATTTGCAAAACATATATCTGATGAAGAACTGTAAAGAGATACCACTTCACACTCACTAGGAGTGTGATAACCAAAAATACAGTAGCAAGTGTTGGCAAGGATACAGAGAAATTATAATTCTCATGTATTTCTGATAGGATTGTATAATGGTACAGCTGCACTGGAAATTGGTTTAGCAGATCCTCAAATACATAGAGATACCATATTACCCATAAGTTCTACTCCTCCATACCCTAAAGAAAGAACACATTATGCCTCCACCAAAAATCACACATGGATATTCATATCAGCATTAATCATAAGAGCAAAAAATAGACACAAGACCAATGTCCATTAACTGAAGAAATGATAAGCAAAGTGGTATAGTTGTAAAATAGAATATTCTTTGGTCATGAAAAGGAGATAAGTACTGAGAATTGTTTCAACATGGATGAACCTTAAACTTAGTGTGTAGTGTGAAATGAGCCAGACACAATAGTTCATGTATTTTATGATTCTATTTATAGGAAAAGTATAAATAGGTGAATTTATAGAGAAAGATTATAAATAATGGTGGCTTGGGGCTGATGGTTAGATGAGGAATGTTAATTTACTGCCAATGGCTTTTGAAATATTTGCAAATCAATTGTTGGGTTGAAAAATATTCTAAAATTGGATCATGCTGATGATTGTACAACCTTGTGAATATATTTTTCAAAAACCCTGGGTTGTACAGATTAATAATGGTAAATTGAAACCAATGTGAAAGAAATTGTTTTAAAAAAGAAAGAATATATTCGAAAGATTTTAAATGTTTCTTCGGGTCATTTAAATGTCTTGTACCATTAAAGTGAAGTCCTAAGTAGTGATTTGCATTGGGAAGAACTTAAGGGGCTTTTTCCCCACTTTATTCCCATGGTTGTGCCGCCAGGCATGGCTCATTAATCCACTAACCATCCTCCCTCAGCCAGATTTTTCCATTTGATGATCCAATATGACTGATTTCTAATTTTTTTTCCACTTCTTATACTGAATTTTCCTCTCAGGTAGCCCAGGTTTATATTTTGGAATGTTTTTAGAGGACACATTCTTACTGCCCCTTCCATTCTTGTTCATTCAGTCAATTGCATAGCTCACAACACTAAGCCCATTTCCAATGCAAGGTTTTCTCATGGCATGAAATGGGCTGATCAAATGGTGACCCTTTAGCTGTCCAAATATGCTGTATATAAATGATAGAAAACAATCGGCATTTGGAAGATCAAAAATATTTTAAGTAATGCTTGAACACAAGTTAAAACATAAATTCTTAATAATAAAGTGGCCTGCTAC